TCTTATCATTTTGCAATAGATCTATTTATAGCACTGCCTATTAATAATAGTATTTTTTCTGATTCACTCACAAAAGAGTGATGTATTTCACCTTGATTGATAGCTTAATCTCGTTCTATTTTTAATTCGCTAAACAAAATCAGCTGTTCTAGAGCCACATCTTGATATATTCCCAAATTTGATTGATTGAGGAAAATCAACTATTGTTGAGACGTGTTTTGATCTTGCCATTCTGATTCATTGAAAAGAATGGGCTGTTGTTGATTCATAGCTTGAGCTTGAGCTTGCTCTTGCCATTGCCTAATTTCTGATATTGTACAAAAAGATCTCGGTAGCAGGATACGATTCTCTTTATGCTGCGCCAGAGAAAATAGGTTGTGAATTATGAGTGGATGTGACTCTCTTTCTTTTGTGCTATGGGAAGGCTATTGTTGATTCGTAGCTTTATAATAACCTTCTTCTATGTAATAGATGACTTTTCCGGTTGTATATAAATGCATAAGATACATCCTCCCAAAGTATGAAGGCGAGTATTGGGTATAAATAAATCAGGAAATATTGTCCACTAATCACATACGAATTCAAGAGGTGTGAGTTCCTTAAGAGCTTTGAGTCTTTTAGCTTAATTGTAGGCCATAACGAAGCTATAAAGATGCTCTTTGAGTTACTAATGAGATTAGTAGAGTAATACCCTTGAACTACAACATCTTTTAGCATCCTATTCATACGCTCAACTTGGCCACTTGTCGAGGGATGTCAGATTTTAGTAAGACGATGTTCAATGTCATTTTTGAAAACTCTATCAAATATGCGCTAAAAAGCGTGTTTATGACGTTCTTAATTCTCATAGGGTAATTTTGATTAAATTACGCAAAAACTCAGTAGCTATTGGTTTTATAGCGTTATTATGCAGTTTAACATAAGCAAGTTTAGCTGTAACTTCCCTTCTTCTGTTATAACTTCTGCGATATCAATATGGAAATAACCGATTGGACATAGCTTGAATTTCTTTTTGGCTTTTATCTCTCCTTCAACATCTGACAGTATGCTAATGCCGTGTCTTTGCAAACAATGATGCAAACTAGACCGAGTTAAACAAGGAATTATGGCCCGCAAAGAATAAAGGCAATTGTCCAAAGGAAGAAGTATATGCTTGCGAAAAGTGACAATTATTGCTTCTTCCCCTTGAGTTGACATCTTTGATTTTCCATGTTTTGGGCCAATTGCAGCGTCTATAACAAATGAGCGTTTTTTCCATTTTACAATAGCCTTCGGATTAAGATTATAGTGCTCTGCAAGCTTTGCTATACTCTCTTTACTGTTTTGTATTACTCTACACACCTCCTATATTGTTTTGGCGCACCCATGTAATACTTGTCACATAATAACTCCTTAAACGAGGATAATATATAGTTATATAGTGGGGCTGTATGGTTTAAGAATCTATAAATCTCTCTGAGTAAAGTCAGAATGATGATTATCTTTATAAAGATAGACGCTTGATTAAATGTTCTATGGACTGAGAGTTTTTATAGACCGCTCAATATGCTCAGAAATTGGCGCAACAATAGTTATAATCTTATTATTTGGCAATCTTAAAGATAAAGAATATGAATGAAGGTGCATTTTATTTTCTATTCCATCAACAAAAGCTTTTTTACCTCCATACTTACCATCACCAAGAATCGAGCAATTTATATGGGATAGATGCGCACGTAACTGGTGGGTTCTACCAGTAATGGGTTGTAACTTTAAATAAGCCACATTATGTTTTAGTTTTGCTAGAATTGAAAAATGTGTGGTAGCATTTTGAGAAGAATTTTCGTCTACAACCACTTTTTCTTGTCCAGCAATGTACTTCTTCACTAATGGATGGTTTATTATTCCATTATTTTTGCTTGGTATACCAGAAGTAAGTGCTAAATAAGTTTTCTTAATCTTTCGNGTGTACAATCTTAAATATTTCTTTCTCTCGTATTTGATCAAGTAGGTCACTAATATTAATTTTTCCACCTTGAACGGTTACTCCTGCAGGTTTGTTAATAGCCAAGATATATTCATCTTCGTATAATATATTTTCTTTTAACAATCCTACTAACTTTGCATTTGGTTTTGGTTTGTCATTACATATTTGGTCAGAATTCAAGTGCTTTATTGTTATTATTTGACCTGAACTAATTCTATCACTAGATTTAGCTTTACAATCATCAACCTTAATTAATCCCTTTCTTAAAAATTTCTCAATTATAGACTGCTTTAAGTTAGGAAAAATTCTTCTTATGTATCTGTCCAACCTAACGTTATCATCATCTACTGATATGGTTTTTGTGTTCACTTTATTTATAGCTAAATACTATTTCATGTTATATGTAGAATAAGCAATAGACCTCTTGTGAAACTTGCTTATGAAGCTTATATATATTATATATACAATTATATTAGCATAGCTAAACATA